GCTCCACTTTATGTTTTAAGGGATTTATTTATTTATTCGAAGGCAAATAGATGGAGAGGACAGAGAGAGGGAGACAGAGAAGGTCCCCGTGTTAGCACCACAAACTCTGTGCCCAACAGAGGCCACAGCAAACAGAACTGACCTGGCCCAGCCCACAGGCCACAGTGTGCAACCTGGTGGGGAAACCTCTCCTACAGAGCCTGCAGGTGTGGGGGAATGAGAAGGCCAGGCCAAGATGGCCAGGGGCAACAGGCTGTGATTGGATGGTTTCGAAAACTACATGACAGCGGACTCTGCCTGGCAACAGGCTGTGATAGGTTAGGGCATAGCCTGCCCCTTGACTGGATTGGCTGCTGTTGTAGCACCTGAAACAAAGCAGTCTACAGTCTGCCTGCCACAGGCCTGCTCTCACCTGACTCCCAGGGTCCGTGTTGTGACTCTGCGCCTCTTGCCCCCACCACACTCCTCCTCCCAGAAATGAATCCACTGCAACATGCAGGGGGTGGGGGGCTCCTGCAGGACCTGGTGTCCCCGATCTCGGGGGAGACCCCAGCACAGCCTCTGTTTGCCCTGAGGACTCGCCTATGGGCTCGCCATTGCTGGGAGCTTTGCAGCCATAACCTCACTCACTCTGGCCCCAGCCTGGGACGCAGGATGACCACCACCATTTCCCAGTGTGGGGACTGTGGGTCAGGTCAAAGGGGATGTGGTACACCCCAGAGAGGCAGGACTGCTAATCTGGGGTGGAGTCCATAGGCCAGGAAAGGGAAGATGGCCACAGTAGGCTATGGGGCTTCCCTGTGTAGGAGAACAAGAGGGAACTCTGGGAGGTGCAGGTGCTCCCGGCCTGGCTGCTCCTGGGTCTCCCTGAGGACAAAGAAGGGGAGAGAGAGCCCCAAATCAGGCTCGGGGCCTCCAACAGGGGAGGGACAGAGAGGCAAGGAGAAGGGGCAAGGACAAAGGAAAGGCCAGTGGGGGTCACAGGAAGGAGCCAGCTACCCCATAGCCCAGGACCCACAGACGCTGACAGCTCCGAGAACCCGCCCAGGATGCCCATGGCCCCTAAGGACCCAGCACCACTCAGGAGCTCAGGAGAGTTGGGAACTATTCTGGGTGCTACGGTGGGGGTACCCTCCAAGGCAGGGGCTCCTGTTGCTCATGCAAGCTTGACAGAGCCTAGAAACAGAGCCCCAGGGGTTGGGAAACCAAGGTAGTAGCAGGCACTGGAGCTGGGACCCACCCGGGCCCAGGCGCAGCTCCAAGCTGCCTGTCAGGGTCCAGCACTCTGCTCCCCTTGTGTGGCCACAGGTGCCCATTATGGTCACTGAGTCCTGACGATTTTTCGTGCACATTTCTCGACATGACATCTGTCATAAATTACAAACCAGGCAGGGACATCTGTGAGCACCCACACAGGGCTACAGGCAGCAGCTGCTCCCCGGGGGACGGAGAAGCCACTGTTGTCCTGTGCCTGGGGCAGTGAGGACGAGGCACACTCCACACGGGTCTCCAAGAGCAGCACCCACACGCTGTCCAGGAGACTGATTCTGGGAGCTGACATCACCTGGTTCCTCTAGTGGGAGTCCCCGGAGCCCTCAGAGCACTGAGCCCCAGGGTGCTGGGCTCCCCACCTCCTGTCATGGACGCCTCGGGCCCAGGCGTGCCCTGCGCTGAGCAGTTTCCTGCACACACATGCGGGTGTTGGCAGAGGCCGAGGCCGCCCCTCTGGAGATGAGGACCCTGGGGTGGGGGGCAGGAGTCAGCCAGGGCGGTGCTGTGTCTGCCCCCACCCTGGAGGAGCTGCAGCCTGCCAGGGCGGGACCACACGCCCACGGCCACAGCACACAGGACACACAGAAGACCTGTCCACCTCCCTCTCTCCACTGCCCGTGGCCCTGGCCCCTCCTGCCAGCCCTGGGCACAGGAGGCACAAGCACCCGGGCCACCAGCTCAGCCCAGAGCGCACTCCTGGTCCTGCCCTCAGGGTGGCCCTGCACCTTGCAGACCCAGAAGGCACCCGTTCTCCTGAGACCTCCCCACGTCCACGTGTGGGTGTCAGAGGGGACTGGAATTTGACGAGGCAGAACCTAACTGGGGCCTAATCAGTGGTCCTGCTGCCCTGCCCCAAGAGGACACCCTCACCCTCCGCCTGCTACTAGCAATGCCCATGCTCACAACTCATGAAATCCCCACACGACTGCAAGACCCAGACGCAACCTGTCCTGGGACCCAGGTGACTCAGTATAGAATATTCCTAATGCTTAACACCTGAATCTCCCCGGGGAGATGCCCCGACTGCTCCTTCCAGCTCACAGCTGGTTCTAATTCCAGGGCGATGGAGGGAGGAGCCGCCCGCTACCACGCCCCATTAGTTGCAGCTGGTCAGTGGACCCCTGTGCAAGGGGTAGCTCCCAGCTCTCCGTCCACCCAGACACATGGGCCCTCTTGGTTCTCACTGTCCAGAGCAGGGATCCACAGAGGCTCTGACGACGCCTGACTGAGGTCCTTGACCCCTACCCACCTGGGAGCTTCCAGAACCACAGAAATCCCAGCCGCGTCTCTCCCCACCTCTCCACCCAGCAATGTTCCCCAGAGGATTCAGAATCCGGTCCAGCCACAGTTCCCTGGGAGCCAAACACATGGCGCAAGAGGCGGTGCAGGGGAAGGGGTCTGTCAGGGGAGGGGCTCACCTGTAATGGGGGCTGCCAAGTCCCAGGGGTGGCCATCTGCCCATAGAAACCAGGAGAGCTGGAGCGGACACAGACCAAGTCCGCAGGACCCTGCACAAGGAGTCGCCAGGGTTCTTGGCTTAAGGCTGCAGCTGGTCGTCTCAGGTCACGGGTGCGAGTTCCAGAGTGGAAAAGCCACAGCACCGGGGGCTCTGAGCCTGAGGGGGGGCACTGAGACGCGCAGGCTCCATGAGAGCCCCGAGCTGCCCCTGCCCTGCGGCCCTGTTCTCTCCGAGTTCTGGGCGGGCTGCGTGGTGCTGCCCACGGCGAGGGCGCATCCCCATGGTGCTGGAGACACTCATCTGGGCCCCACAGAAACTCACAGACACCCCGGGTGCTCAGTCTTTCCCATCCCGGGGACAGGAGAGGGGTATCAGCACCTGCCGAGGTCTGAGGCTCCACCCTGGGCCCAGCTCCCCCTGCCTGCCCAGATCCAGTCATTGGTGATGCCCGGAACAACCGTCCCAGGACAGTGGCCAGCGTCAACAAGGAGTCACAGAACCTAGATCCTAAAACACAGCTTTGTGTTTGCACGTTGATAATTCAATTAAACATCACTAGCCACCTATTTCTACCTCCAGGAGGAAGAACAAGGACACCATGGGAAGCCTTCTCAGGTGCTAAAAAAAAAAATCACGGGAACGGAGTCCTCAGAACCTGCTCCTGATGCGTGAATCACTTCTGTATCATGATGCTCTTCTCAGATACACTCCACTCCATGTACTGGCCTAAGGACGTTCCTCTGTCACAGGTGGAGCTGTCTCCTCACACTGAGCCCCTGGGCCCAGGGCTGGCAGCTGCTCCCGATGCTGACGCCCAGGCTCTGCCCCAGCTGCTCCCTGGGTGGGGCAGGAATCAGCAACCACCTGGGCCTGGGAGGAACCGCTCACTGGGGAGGGGCCTGGCTCTTCATCTCGGCCTCAGTTTCCCTGTTTGTGAAGGAGGGGCCAATGCCCACAGCCCAGGTCTGCAGGGGTGGGGCTGAGGCTGTGAATGCAAGCTGAGCCTGAGGCAGAGGCCCAGCTCCACAGGGAGCCAGGGAGCCAGTGGGGGAGGGGAGGCAGCCCCTGGACCTGGAGCCTGAGCCCCCCTCTCCCAAGGGAGGGAATTGCTCTGCCTCCCTGGTGTCAGGGAAGGGCACACAGGCAGACTGTCACATGGGCGTCCAGATGCCAGAACTCACTTTCCCTGTACACACAGGAGGAGGAGGGGCCTGCGGATGGATGTCCCCAGGGACAGCCCTGAACCACTGAAGATCAGGGACACTGGGCCCCTCCCCCACGACCCTGGGTCACTCTGCCTGGTGTCTGTGCCCGGATGGGGACAGAGGCTGTGACCTGAGCTAAGGAATAGAATGGGTGGGGCTCATCTTAAGCAGTGACCTTGTAGCCTTCAGTAGTTCCCTGCATAGCAGAGACCCCGTCTGTTCAGTGCCGTCCTGGGGTGCACTTTGGGCACCCTGCAGCACCCTATGCCAGGCTCACCTGTGCCCCCACCCTGTGGGGTCCGGGGCTCTGGTTCCCCAGCAGCGCCCATGCAGCCAGGATGGAGCAGCCCCAGCCATGCTAGCACTTCCTACTCAGGCTCACTGGGCCTGCGTCAGACCCTCCCTCCGCTCTCCCAGGGCTCGGTCTGCAGACGCCCTGGTGGGGCAGAGGAAAGCCAGGGAGAAAGAAAGGGATCCGAGTCCAGTGTCTCTGTCACTGCGCCATCTGCAGCCTCCCTGAGCCCAGCTCTCACACAGTGAGCTCGATAGAGACAGGTGTACACCTAGAACCAGTGTGCGGGACGCGTCACAGGGTCACGTCCACGGTACGTGAGTGATACCTCAAAGGAAGGCCCCGTACAACAACACATATGAAAGAGAAGACAGGCAAGAAGGAAGTGCTTGGGGCTGGCACTGAGGCATGGTGGGTAAAGCTACCACCTGCTGTGGCCAGATCCCATCTGGGTGCTGGTTTGAGTCCCGCCTGCTCCACTTCTGATCCAGCTCTCTGCTATGGCCTGGGAAAGCAGTAGAAGAAGGCCCAAGTTCTGCACCCATCTGGGAGATTCAGAAGAAGCTGCTGGCTCCCTGTCTCATATCACCACAGCTCTAGCCATTGCTTTCAATTGGTGAGGGAACCAGTGGATATAAGGGTGATTGAGAGAAAGACAGTATAACTCTGACTTTAAAATTAATAAATAAATATTTAAAAAATGTATTTAAAAAAGTGTTTGCAATCACAAAGAATTGGTGTTGGTGACACATGAGGACCTGCCTGTCGTGACAGGACCTCAGAATCCACAGCTGCAGACACTGCCACAGGCAGAGACCATGACGCGACATCCTGCAGGACACCCACACGGCCTGGCCACACGGACGCTCCACGTTACAGGGAAGAGGGGGCCCATGAATGCGACCCCAGCACCCACACCCCAGCGTCTGCAGGGACAGCACTCATCCTGCCCGCTGGCCTGTGGGGTGAGAGCCCTCAGTGCCGCTGCACAGGGGGCCGGGGCACGGCCTTCCTAACAAGCCAGGTACACGCGGCCTCTGCATGAACCCGCCCACTCCCAGCTGTGTCCACCAGAGACCCTCTCAGGGCTGCGTGTGCAGGGTGTGTGCACACCTGCTCTGAGACCCCTGGGAGTTGTGAATAGTGGAGGCACCGTGCCCAAATCAGGGTGTCCATGCTCGGACACCACCCTGTGGTAGACAGGAAGGGGCGGTTCCCGTGGGCACTGTGACAGCCGAGGGACCCAGGCCCCGAGGAGCAGCCTCCAGGATCAAGTGTCTGCAGTGAGCCCGTCCAGGCCGCACGTGCACCACATGTGCTCTGCTGGTTACCCACACCCACGCTGCCTCCTCACAGCCTGTGCCCACCTCACAGATGCCGGCCACACACAGACGCTGCACAGCCAAGGACACCAGGCACGGACAGGAGAACCAGGACTCCAAGCAGGGCGGCCTGGCCCTGACCTGGGTTCTTAACCACGGTCGTCCTCAGCTCCTGATTGGACACACGGATGCGCAGTAAGAGGTCTGGAAAGAGACTCCCCAGGGCGCTGGGTCAGGAGCATGCGCCCTGCGGCTTCCCCTCTGTGCAGCGTGCAGTCGTGGGACTGGGCTTTGGGAAGACAGAAACAAGTTCTGCAGGGCTAAATCAGAGGTGCTGCCGCCCTGCCCAGGAGGACCCCACAGCCCCAGGCCTGCTCCTAGCTGTGCCCAAACTCACACCCCCAAAATCCCCCACACCAAGGCAAGGCCGCGCTCAGCGTTTCCTGAGACCCAGGTGACCACTACAAACTCTTTCTGATATGGAACACCTGCGTCTCCCTGGGGAGCTGCCCAGGCCTCTGTGGCTTCCAGCCCGCAGGTGGTTCTAATCCTGGGCCAGAGAGTGAAAAGAGCCGCCCGCTACCACGGCCCAGTTGGTGTGCAGCTGCTCAGTGGACGCCTGTGCAAGGGGTGGCTCCGGGGTTCCCATCCACCCCGCTCCAAGCGCCCTCTGGGTCTGCACGTCCCACTGCAGGGATCCCCAGGCACTCTGAGGACGCCAGACGGAGAGCCTTGTCCTGGGCACCACCGGAAGCTTCCCGAACCCCAGAACTCCCATGCCGGCCTCTCCCGCAGCAGTGCACCCAGCAAGGTCCCCAGAGGATTCAGAATCCATCCCACCACCATCTGCAGGGAGCCAGACCACAGCACAGAGAGCCAGGCAAGGGAGGGGCTCACCTGGTGATGGCACTGTGTAGTCCCAGTGTGCTCTGTCTGCAAGGCGGGGAACCAGGAGCGCTGGGGGCCAGGCACAGACTGAGCCCGCAGGATCCTGACCCCCTGATGTCCTTCTCAGACTCAGGCTGCACTGTGAGCCCAGGGTCCACCGGTTCGAGCTCCAGATCAGAAAGCCACAGGACCTGGGTTCTGACCCTGAGCTGGGAGAGCTAAGACCGCAGGCCCAGAGAGAGCCCAGCTCGCCCTTCCTCTGCCGCCCTCCTGTCTCCGAGGTCCCCACTGATGATGGTGCCTCCCACTCAGAGGTGGAGCCCATGCCTGCTCAGACTCCCATCTAGGATCCACACACTCCTAAAGCCGCATCCAGTCGCTCAATCTTCCCGTCTGGGGGCAGCAGAAGGGAGCGCCCAGCACCTAGGACACCCAGAGGCTCCACCCTGCACCTAGCTCTCAGGGCCTCCCCTATCTGGTTTCTGGAGACACCGGACCGGGGCAACAGCCAAGGTGAACAGAGTCTTGGAACTCAGATGCTAACAAGGCCCTTCGCTCGAACGTTCCTAACTTCATGAAACGTCACCTAGCCGACCTCTGCTTCACCTAGGGATGAAAACATGACATCAGGGAAGCCTTACCAGGTGTTAAAGAAAATTCATGGGAATCATGGACTTGGACCAGGCACCAGCACTGGGCCCACACCCCCTACCCAAACAGATTCATCAGGGCCACGGGGCTGGGGCTGCGGCACAAGACCCAGAGGCAGTTCATTAATCAGGTAGTGAGCAATTAACTAGTTAAGAGGTGCCCGACTGGCAGGTGTGGGGACTGAACTGGAGCCCTGGTGCTGATCTCCCCACCTCACTTCCTGTTGTCCAGGAAAGCTGTCGCACCTGTCATGGAGAGGGGTCCTCAGCACCTGCTCCAGTTCTGGGAGCTGCCTGACTCGTGACCATTTCTCTGTGATAATGCTGTCCTCACATGGACTCCACTCCATGCACCTGGCCTAAGAAGCTTCCTTTAGTCACAGGAAAGAGTTGTCTCTGAACCTGAGCCCTGAGCCAGGTCCTGGCATCTGCTCTTGGATGCTGACGCCCAGGACTCTGACCCCCAGGGCTCCCAGGTCAGGGGAGGAACAGAGGCCACCTGGACTGGATAGGAAGAGAGGACAAAGAAGGGGAGAGAGAGCCTCAAATCAGGTTCAGGGCCTCCAACAAGGAGGGGTGGGGACAGAGAGAAGGAGAAGGGGCAAGGACAAAGGAAAGGCCAGTGGGGGTCACAGGAAGGAGCCAGCTCCCCCACAGCCCAGGACCCACAGAGGCTGACAGCTCCCAGAACCCCGCCAGACATCAAGGCCTAAGGACCCAGCCCTACCAGCAGCCAGGGGAGTCTGGTGCTGTTCCGGGGGCTTCCTTGGAGGCAGGTGCTCCTGTCACTCACACCCCCTTGACAGAGCCAGAAACAGAGCCCCAGGGGGTGGGAAACCAAGGCAGTGCCAGCCGCGGGCACTGGAGCCAGGACTCAGCCCAGGCCCCGGGCGCGGCTCCAAGCTGCCTCCTTCAGGCTCCCAGCGCTCCGCTCCCCGGTGTGTGAGCACAGGTGCCCGAATCAACACTAAGTCCTTCATGTTTCTCCATCCACAAATTTATGACCTAATGGATTTCTCTTAAACTCCTATTTAAACAGTTAACATGCAGGCACAGAGGCAGTAGTGCAGGGCAATCCATGGGCACCAACAGAGGCAACGAGGTTCTTCCCAGGCAGCAGCTGCTCCCCGGGGACAGAGGAGCCACAGAGTCCTGTCCTTGGGGCAGCGAGGACGAGGGACATTCAACACCTGTTCAGGAAGGGCGAGGATTCTGAAAATGGGATTCTCAGGTCCATTTTCCAGTGGGCGATCGTGGTAACTTGGGGGCAGCAGAGAATCCACAAGGTCCTGTCCTTGGGGCAGCGAGGACAAGGGACATTCAACACCTCTTCTGGAAGAGCGATGATACTGAGCTGGGCGTCTCGGAGTCCATCTTCCAGAGGACGATGGTGGTGACCTGTGGGCAGGGAGAGAAGCTCAGGGTCCTGTCCTTGGTGCAGCGAGAAAGAAGGACACTCTACTCCTGCAGACCTCAGAGGCAAGGATTCTGAAGCTGGAAGTCTTGGAGTCCGTCTTCCCGTGGATGATGGGGAGACCTGGGTCACCAGAGACATAGCTCTGCTGCAGCATCTGCCGGGTAGACCCTTTGGTCGCCCCAGGGCCCTCTTGGATTTGAGAGGTCAGAGGGCTGGGGCAGGGACAAGCTGACAAGGGGAGAACATGGCCCTGTCATGCCATGGCCTGGTCCCTGGTTCCTGTCCTTGTGACACCCCAGGGCACTTTGACTAGTGACAAGGCCACAGACCAGCAGGGAGGTGGCAGGTGCCTCATCCAAGCCAGAGGAGATGCCCACCCTGGGGCTCAGCCCCCCGAGGACAGACACGGGGAGGCAGTGCTGGCAGAACAGAGCTGTAGGGATGCCAGCGCCCCTGCCAGGGCCCAGCACAGCCCTGGCTGCTGGCCTGGTCTACAGCTCATGGCAGGGAACACCGAGCCCGGCAGCCACAGAGGGGTCCCCTCTCTCACGTGCTCACCGCCCGTCGCACACCTGCAAGGCCTTGTGTGCAAGACTCATGAGGCCACTGTGGCCCTCAGAGACACCCATCTCCCAGGGGGGCACGTTGAGGCTCCAAGGACTGAAGGGCCCCACTGGAAGGTCAGGGGCTCTCAGGAGGGACGGGACCCGGATGTCTGAGTCTCAGAGGAACAGATGCGCTCCCCTCACTCCCCGCCCTTGAGAAATGGGCCACGGGCCTCCGGCACAGGAGCCATGGCCTGCAGGAAGGACAGAAACGCCCAGGACACGGTCTCCCTGCACCTGGCAGCCCCACCTCCACCTGCCCAGCGTCTGCGCTCCCTTGTCCAGGTGGGAGCTGCTGCATCTCCCATGGAGACCCCGGGGCAGTCTGTCTGTCCTGAGGATGGGATGGCGGTGAGGATGCTCCTAGGCACTCGGCCACACTGCCTGGCCCAGGGCTGGGGCAGAGGGCAAGGACGAGCAGTGCCGAGACCTCGGCTCCACGTCTCAGGAGAGGGACCCCCGGCTGCTGCAGCCTGGGGCCTGTCAGGAGCTGCCGCGGCCTCCCCCCTCCTTAGACCCTGGTACAGAGCTGCACACAGCCAGCCCACGCGGGATGGCTCATGCTGCTGGAGCCTCCAGAACCTGCAGGGGTGATCCCACAGCCCCTCTGCACTCTCCCCTGACCAAGGAGGGCCATGGGCATCAGTGTGAGTCCTCCCCTCTCCCCTATGCACCTGCTCCATTCCTGCACACAGATGCAAAGCCAATGGACACCCTGGCTGTCTGGGGTGACCCCGCCCGCTGTGGGTGAGTCCCTTACCACCAAGAGGTCCTTCCACAGGAAGTCTTCTTGCTGGTACAGATCAGGTTTCCGGGGCTTCTTTGGATCCTAAACCTTGTAGAGCCACCCGGACTGGGCAGTAGTTACCTGTGCAGGGGAGAGAGGAGAACGCACTTCCACCACCCCTCCCCGGCAAACATGGGAGACCCCAACTGAGTCCCCTGCAGGCAGAACCTCGCAGTAACAACCCTTTCTCCCGCCCCCGTGCAGACAGCCCCTGTCCCACCTGACAGCCTTCTCACCTTGGTCCAGGAGCCGCCATGGACACCTCCTGCCCCGCTCTGCTGAGGGACGCGGGAGCCACTGGGCACACAGAGGGCTTGGGGGACTGGCAATCGGTCCCCGCCCCAGGAAGTCCCCATCCAGGATGCGATTCTGGCCTCGGGATTCTTCTCCCTCTCCCGGGGCTCCCAGGAAGGGAGACGAGTGGTGCACAAATGAAAATGCAACAACAGAAATCAAATGAACAGAAATCAAAACACAAAAATGAACAAACTCACTCTGCTCCCGTTACCAACAGAAAACATGAACTGTGTGTACTACACCAGACCAACAACGGAGACTGTTCTTTTGAAGAAAATGTTAAAATGAGAAAACACAAAATGAACATGAATTGTGGCAGGAAACAAAGTAAAATAGAAAAAGTACAAAGTAATCAAAATGGAAAAAGAAAAAGCAAATTTGACCAAACGGGAGCCGCAGGATCCGATTCTTCCTCCGGATTCCTCTCCCTCTCCAGGGCTCCCCCAGGAAGGGTCAGCAGGGCTGACGTCTGGGAGACCCCGAGCCAGCAGCTGACACAGATCAGCTCTCACGGCTCTGACTCCTTGAGCACAAACGAAGATGAAACCAACAGAAATCAAATGAACAGAAATCAGAACACAAAATGGACAAAGTCAGCTCACATCACCAACAGAAAACAGGAACTAAATGAACTCAACTAGACTCACAACTGAGACCGACCCTATCGAAACAGTTAAAAGTGAGAAAACACAAAAAAGGAATAAATCATAAAGAAAAAAATTCATAAAACTTCACTGTAATAAAAATCCAAGCAGACTCACAGTCTTATTAAAAAAAAGGGAATAAAAATGAGAAAAAAACTCAAAGTGAACAAAGGTAAACCAAATAATGGGAGAAAATATAAAGAACAACCACAAAAAGAGGAAAGCCAAGGAAAAAAGTGAAGAAAAAATCCAAATGGAAATGAAATATCTAAGGAAAATCAATAAGAAAGGGAAAAAGAATACGAATACTGGAGGAAATCATAATAAATAAAATGGGAAAAAAGAACAAAATAATCAAAAGAAAAAACAAATTGGACCAAAACAACAGCAGCTTGAAGAATAAAAACAAAACAAGAAAACAAACAGGCAGCTGTTCCCAGCCCCAGGTCCCCGGGACAGCGCTTCCTGGGCAAATGACAGAACCCAGGCCCAGCCAAGGCTTTGTGCAGGCAGCGGGCATGACATCACAATGGTGCCTTCTGATGTCAGAGCAGGAAACCGCAGCAGGTGCTGCCCTCTGCTGGTTTACACAGGCGCCTTTCCACTTTAAAAAAAAAAGAGAAATTCAGCCGGCGCCGCGGCTCACTAGGCTAATCCTCCGCCTAGCGGCGCCGGCACACCGGGTTCTAGTCCCGGTCGGGGCGCCGGATTCTGTCCCGGTTGCCCCTCTTCCAGGCCAGCCCTCTGCTGTGGCCAGGGAGTGCAGTGGAGGATGGCCCAGGTGCTTGGGCCCTGCACCCCATGGGAGACCAGGAAAAGCACCTGGCTCCTGGCTCCTGCCATCGGATCAGCGCGGTGCGCCGGCCGCAGCGCGCCAGCCGTGGCGGCCATTGGAGGGTGAACCAACGGCAAAAGGAAGACCTTTCTCTCTGTCTCTCTCTCTCTCACTGTCCACTCTGCCTGTCACAAAAAAAAAAAAAAAAAAAAGAGAAATTCTTTCTTAGGTTGAAGAGAGAGATATTAGTGTTTTGAAATTAAACCCTGTACGATATTTCAAAACCTTTTCATTTCTAGTCTTAGCATCTTCCATAATTTTGCCTTTTGCAGACTCAGTGTATCCACTCCTTTCTCTTCACCCCCTGAATGATCGCTCTCAAACCATGGTGCAGCGTCACTGGCATCGCGACGCTACATCAAATGTTCTGTCACTCAAGTCAGCGGTGCTGTGACGGAGCTGTAAAGCCACGGCTCACGGGGCCTGCGTCCCGAACGAGTGTCTGTTCATGTCCCAGCTGCTCCACTTTTAGTTTTAAAGGGATTTCTTTATTTATTCGAAGGCAGATGGAGAAGGACAGAGAGAGGGAGACAGAGAAGGTCCCCGTGTTAGCACCACAAACTCTGTGCACAGCAGGAGCCCCAGCAAACGTGACTGACCTGGGCCATCCCACAGCCTACCGGTGTGCAACCTGGTGGGGAAACCTTTCCTACAGAGGCTGCAGGGGGGGCTCCTGCAGGACCTGGTGTCCCGGATCTCGGGGGAGACCCCAGCACAGCCTCTGTCTGCCCTGAGGACTCCCCTATGGGCTCATCCACTGCTGGGAGCTTCGCAGCCATAACCTCACTCCATCTCTGCTGCCCGTGGCCCTGGCCCCTCCTGCCAGAACTGGGCGAAGGAGTCACAGCACCCGGGCCACCAGCGCAGCCCAGAGCTCAGGCCTTCCCTTGGGCTGCGCATGGACCTCGAGGCCCCGGCAGCACCCGTTCTCCTGAGATCCCCGCAGTCCACGTGGGTGTAAGAGGGGACTGGGCTTGACCAAGGAGAAACAAAACTGGGGCCTAATCAGTGGTCCTGCTGTCCCTGCCCCAAGAGGACGCCCACAGCCCCAGTCTGCTCTTCCCTGTGCCCAAACCCACACCCCACATAACCCGTACACTACCCAGGGCCCAGGTTCAACGTTTCCTGGGACCTCTGCGAGTCAGTGGAAAACATTCCTGATATTTAACACCTGGATCCTCAAGGGGAGATGCCCAGGACTCTGTGGCTTCCAGCCAGCAGGTGGTTCTAATCCCGGAGGGGTGTTCGAGGAGCCACCCGCCGCCACAGCCCCTTCAGTGTGCAGCTGGTCAGAGCACGCCTGTGTCAGGGGCAGCCCCCAGAGCCCCACCACCCAGCCACGCGGGCCCTCTTGGTTCTCACAGTCCACAGCAGGGATCCGCAGAGGCTCTGAGGACGCCTGACAGAGGTCCTTGTCCCCTGCCCCACATGGAAGCCTCCAGAACCCAGAAATCCCAGACCCCACCTCTCCCCCACCTCTGCATCCAGCAATGTCCCCAGAGGATTCAGAATCGTCATGCCACAGTTCCCGGGAGCCAAAGAGAGGGTGCAAAGGAGGGGTGCAGGGGAGGGGGTCTGTCAGAGGAAGGGGCTCACCTCTGATGGTGGCTGAAAATTCCAGGGGCAGCCTTCTGCCAAGTAGGAAACCAGGAGAGCTGGGAGCAGGTGCACACCGAGTCCCCAGGATCCAGGACCAGGACCCAGCAGCCGCCGGGTTCTTCTCGGTCTCGGGCTGCAGCCGGGAGTCCCAGGTCACGGGTGCGAGTTGCAGAGTGGAAAAGCCACAGCACCGGGGGCTCTGAGCCCTGAGGGGGAGCACTGAGACGCGCAGGCTCCATGAGAGCCCCGAGCTGCCCCTGCCCTGCGGCCCTGTTCTCTCCGAGTTCTGGGCGGGCTGGGTGGTGCTGCCCACGGCGAGGGTGGATCCCCACGGTGCTGGACACGCTCATCTGGGCTCCACAGAAACTCACAGACACCCCGGGTCGCTCAGTCTTTCCCATCCAGGGGCAGGAGAGGGGGGCTCAGCACCTGCAGGTGCTCTGAGGCTGCACCCCGGGCCCGGCTCCCCCTGCCTCCCCAGATCCAGTCATTGGTGATGCCCAGAACAACCGTCCCAGTACACCGGCCAGGGTCAACCAGAGTCGCAGAACCAAGTTTCTAAAACAAGGCTTTGTATTCCGATTTCAGAATTCAATTAAACATCACCCAGCCACCTCTTTCTACCTCTAGACAGAAGACAACGTCACTGGAAGCCTTACCAGATGTTAAATAAAATTCATGGAAGGCAACGGACTGGATAAGGGACATGCACTGGGCCCAAGACCCAACTCAGATGGCTTCATCCAGGCACTGTGCTGTGGCTGAGGCACAAGGCCCTGTATCCAGCTCACTAATTAGGCTGTGAGCAATTAACTAGTTAAGAGGTGACCAACTGGCAGGTGTGGGACTGAACTGGAGCCCTGGTGCTGATCTCCCCACCTCACTTCCCGTTGTCCAGGAAAGCTGTCGCACCTGTCATGGAGAGGGGTCCTCAGCACCTGCTCCAGTTCTGGGAGCTGCCTGACTCGTGACCATTTCTCTGTGATAATGCTGTCCTCACATGGACTCCACTCCATGCACCTGGCCTAAGGAGCTTCGTTCAGTCCTGGGAAAGAGTTGTCTCTGAACCTGAGCCCTGAGCCAGGTCCTGGCATCTGCTCCCGGATGCTGACACCCAGGGCTCTGACCCCCAGGGCTCCCAGGTCAGGGGAGGAACAGAGGCCACCTGGACTGGATAGGAAGAGAGGACAAAGAAGGCTAGAGAGAGCCTCAAATCAGGTTCAGGGCCTCCAACAAGGGGGGTGGGACAGACAGGCAGGGAGAAGGGGCAAGGACAAAGGAAAGGCCAGTGGGGGTCACAGGAAGGAGCCAGCTCCCCCACAGCCCAGGACCCACAGACGGCTGACATCTCCCAGAACCCTGCCAGACATCAAGGCCTAAGGACCCAGCCCTACCCAGCAGCCAGGGGAGTCTGATGCTGTTCCGGGTGCTTCCTTGGAGGCAGGTGCTCCTTTCACTCACACCCCCTGGACAGAGCCAGAAACAGAGCCCCAGGGGGTGGGAAACCAAGGCAGTGGCAGCCGCAGGCACTGGAGCTGGGACTTAGCCCAGGCCCCGGGCGCTGCTCCAAGCTGCCTTCTCCAGGCTCCCAGCGCCCCGCTCCCCGTGTGTGAGCACAGGTGCCCGAACCCACACTGAGGCCTTCATGTTTCTCCAGCCACTATTTATGGATGTAATTGATTTCTGTCTAACTCATAAATCTGTTCGTTGCAGGCACAGAGGCAGTAGTGCAGGGCAATCCATGGGCACCAACAGAGGCAACGAGGTTCTTCCCAGGCAGCAGCTGCACCCCAGAGATGGAGCAGCCACGGGGTCCTGTCCTTGGGGCAGCGAGGACAAGGGACATTCAACACCTCTTCTGGAAGGGCGAGGATTCTGAGCTGGGCGTCTCGGAGTCCATCTTCCTGTGGATGATGGTGGTGACCTGGGGGCAGCCAGAGAAGCCACGGGGTCCTGTGCTTGGCAGCGAGAAAGAAGGACACTCTACTCCTGGAGACCACAGGGGCAAGGATTCTGAAGCTGGAAGACTTGGAGTCTGTCTTCCCATGGAATGGGGAGACCGGGCTCACCAGAGACATAGCTCTGCCGCAGCATCTGCCGTGTAGATGCTTTGGTCGCCCCAGGGGCCTCTTGGATTAGAGAGGTCAGAGGGCTGGGGCAGGGACAAGCTGACAAGGGGAGAACATGGCCCTGTCACGCTATGGCCTGGTCCCTGGTTCCTGTCCCTGTGACACCTCAGGGCACTTTGAATGCTGACGAAACCCACAGACCAGCAGGGAGGTGGCAGGAGCCTCGTCCAAGCCAGAGCAGATGCCCACCCTGGGGCTCGGCCCCTGAGGACAGACACGGGAAGGCAGTGCTGGCAGCACAGAGCTGTAGTGATGCCAGTGTCCCTGCCAGGCCTCAGCACAGCCCCGGCTGCTGGCCTGGTCTACAGCTCACGGCAGGGACCTTCGAGCCCGGCAGCCACAGAGGGGACCTCTCTCTCACGTGCTCACCGCCCGTAAGCACCATGCAGGACCCTGTGTGCAAGACTCATGGGGCCATTGTGGCCCTCAGAGACACCCATCTCCCAGGGGGGCACGTTGAGGCTCCAAGGACTGAAGGGCCCGACTCGAAGGTCAGGGGCACTCAGGAGGGACGGACCCGGACGTCTTAGTCTCAGAGAGGAGCAGATGTGCTCACCTCCTTCTGCGCCCATGGGAAATGGGCCAGGGGCCTCCGGCACAGGAGGTCCTGTGCCTGGGGCAGTGAGGACGAGGCACACTCCACACGGGTCTCCAAGGCAGGACCCACACGCTGTCCAGGAGACTGATTCTGGGAGCTGACATCACCTGGTTCCTCTAGTGGGAGTCCCCGGAGCCCTCAGAGCACTGAGCCCCAGGGTGCTGGGCTCCCCACCTCCTGTCATGGACGCCTCGGGCCCAGGCGTGCCCTGCGCTGAGCAGTTTCCTGCACACACATGCGGGTGCTGGCAGAGGCCGAGGCCGCCCCTCTGGAGATGAGGACCCTGGGGTGGGGGGCAGGAGTCAGCCAGGGCGGTGCTGTGTCTGCTCCCACCCTGGAGGAGCTGCAGCCTGCCAGGGCGGGACCACACGCCCACGGCCACAGCACACAGGACACACAGAAGACCTGTCCACCTCCCTCTCTCCACTGCCCGTGGCCCTGGCCCCTCCTGCCAGCCCTGGGCACAGGAGGCACAAGCACCAGGGCCACCAGCTCAGCCCAGAGCGCACTCCTGGTCCTGCCCTCAGGGTGGCCCTGCACCTTGCAGACCCAGAAGGCACCCGTTCTCCTGAGACCTCCCCACGTCCACGTGTGGGTGTCAGAGGGGACTGGAATTTGACGAGGCAGAACCTAACTGGGGCCTAATCAGTGTCCTGCTGCCCTGCCCCAAGAGGACACCCTCAGCCCACGCCTGCTCCTAGCAATGCCCATGCTCACAACTCATGAAATACCCACACCACCGCAAGACCCAGACGCAACCTGTCCTGGGACCCAGGTGACTCAATATACAATATTCCTAGTGCTTAACACCTGAATCTCCCCAGGGACATGCCCGGACTGCTCCTTCCACCCAGCAGCTGGTTCTAATCCCGGGGCGAGTGTGGAAGGAGCCGCCCGCTACCACACCCCTAAGTGTGTAGCTAGTCAGTGGATGCCTGTGCAGGGGGCAGCTCCCAGGTCTCTGTCCACACAGCCACGAGGGCCCTTTTGGTTTCAGGGTCCAGAGCAGGGATCCACAGAGGCTCTGAGGACGCCTGACTGAGGTCCTTGTCCCCCACCCACCTGGGAGCTTTAGAACCACAGAAACCCCAACCCCGTCTCTCCCCACCTCTCTACCCAACAATGTTCCCCAGAGGATTCAAAATCTGGTCCAGCCAGGGTGTCCAAGTAGCCAAACACATGGCGCAAGAGGTGGTGCAGGGCAAGGGGTCTGTCACAGGGAGGGGCTCACCTGTAATGGGGGCTGCCAAGTCCCAGAGGCAGCTGTCTGCTAAGTAGGAAACCAGGAGAGCTGGGAGCGGGCACAGATCAAGTCCACAGGACCCTGCACAAGGAGTCGCCGGGGTTCTTGGCTTCAGGCTGCAGCCGGGAGTCCCAGGTCACGGGTGTGAGTTGCAGAGTGGAAAAGCCACAGCACCGGGGGCTCTGAGCCTGAGGGGGGAGCACTGAGACACACAGGCTCCATGAGAGCCCCGAGCGGCCCCTGCCCTGCGGCCCTGTTCTCTCCAAGTTCTGGGTGGGCTGGGTGGTGCTGCCCACAGCGAGGGTGGGTCCCTACAGTGCTGGAGGCACTCATCTGGGCTCCACAGACACCCCGGGTGCTCAGTCTTTCCCATCCCGGGGCAGGAGAGGGGGGCTCAGCACCTGCCGAGGTCTGAGGCTCCACCCTGGGCCCGGCTCCCCCTGCCTGCCCAGATCCAGTCATTGGTGATGCCCGGAACAATCGTCCCAGGACGTTGGCCAGGGTCAACAAGGAGTCACAGAAGCTAGATCCTAAAACACAGCTTTGTGTTTGCACGTTGATAATTCAATTAAACATCACTAGCCACCTCTTTCTACCTCTAGGAGGAAGAACAAGGACACCATGGGAAGCCTTCTCAGGTGCTAAAAAATTTCACAGGAAAGAAGTCCTCAGAACCTGCTCCTGATGCGTGAATCACTTCTATATCATGATGCTCTTCTCAGATACACTCCACTCCATGCACTGGCCTAAGGACGTTCCTCTGTCACAGGTGGAGCTGTCTCCTCCACACTGAGCCCCTGGGCCCAGGGCTGGCAGCTGCTCCCGATGCTGACGCCCAGGCTCTGCCCCAGCTGCTCCCTGGGTGGGGCAGGAATCAGCAGCCACCTGGGCCTGGGAGGAACCGCTCACTGGGGAGGGGCCTGGCTCTTCATCTTGGCCTCAGTTTCCCTGTTTGTGAAGGAGGGGACAATGCCCACAGCCCAGGTCTGCAGGGGTGGGGCTGAGGCTGTGAATGCAAGCTGAGCCTGAGGCAGAGGCCCAGCTCCACAGGGAGCCAGTGGGGGAGGGGCGGCAGCCCCTGGACCTGGAGCCTCAGCCCCCCTCTCCCAAGGGAGGGAATTGCTCTGCCTCCCTGGTGTCAGGGAAGGGCACACAGGCAGACTGTCACGTGGGCGTCCAGATGCCAGAACTCACTTTCCCTGCACACACAGGAGGAGGAGGGGCCTGCGGATGGACGTCCCCAGGGACAGCCCTGAACCACTGAAGATCAGGGACACTGGGCCCCTCCCCCACAACCCTGGGTCACTCTGCCTGGTGTCTGTGCCAGGATGGGGACAGAGGCTGTGACCTGAGCTAAGGAATAGAATGGGTGGGGCTCATCTTAAGCAGTGACCTTGTAGCCTTCAGTAGTTCCCTGCATAGCAGAGACCCCGTCTGTCCAGTGCTGTCCTGGGGTGCACTTTGGGCACCCTCCAAGGCACCCTATCTCCAGGCTCACCTGTGCCCCCACCCTGTGGGGTCTCTGGGGCTCTGGTTCCCCAGCAGCGCCCACGCAGCCAGGAGGGAGCAGCCCCGGCCACGCTAGCACTTCCTACTCAGGCTCACTGGGCCAGCGTCAGACCCTCCCTCCGCTCTCCCAGGGCTCGGTCTGCAGATGCCCTGGTGGGGCAGAGGAAAGCCAGGGAGAAAGAAAGGGATCCAAGTCCAGTGTCTCTGTCACTGCGCCATCTGCAGCCTCCCTGAGCCCAGCTCTCACAGTGAGTTCGATAGAGACAGGTGTGCACCTAGAACCAGTGTGCGGGACGCGTCACAGGGTCACGTCCACAGTGTGTGAGATACTTCAAAGGAAGGCCCCGTAAATAAGACATATGAAAGACAAGACAGGCAAGAAGGAAGTGCTTGGGGCTGGCACTGAGGCGTGGTGGGTAAAGCTACCACCTGCTGTGGCCAGATCCCATCTGGGCGCTGGTTTGAGTCCCGCCTGCTCCACTTTGGATCCAGCTCTCTGCTATGGCCTGGGAAAGCAGTAGAAGAAGGCCCAAGTTCTGCACCCATCTGGGAGACTCAGAAGAAGCTCCTGGCTCCCTGTCTCAGATCACCACAGCTCAGGACGTTGCTGCCACTTGGTGAGGGAACCAGTGGATATAAGGGTGATTGAGAGAAAGACAGTATAACTCTGACTTTGAAATTAATAAATAAATATTTAAAAAATGTATTTAAAAAAGTGTTTGCAATCACAAAGAATTGGTGTTGGTGACACATGAGGACCTGCCTGTCGTGACAGGACCTCAGAATCCACAGCTGCAGACACTGCCACAGGCAGAGACCATGACGCGACATCCTGCAGGACACCCACACGGCCTGGCCACACGGACGCTCCACGTTACAGGGAAGAGGGGGCCCATGAATGCGACCCCAGCACCAACACCGCAGCATCTGCAGGGACAGCACTCATCCTGCCCGCTGGCCTGTGGGGTGAGAGCCCTCAGTGCCGCTGCACAGGGGGCCGGGGCACGGCCTTCCTAACAAGCCATGTACATGCGGCCTCTGCATGAACCCGCCCTCTCCCAGCTGTGTCCACCAGAGACCCTCTCGGGGCTGCGTGTGCAGGGTGTGTGCACCCCTGCTCTGAGACCCCTGGGAGTTGTGAATAGTAGAGGCACCGTGCCCAAATCAGGGTGTCCATGCTCAGACACCACCCTGTGGTAGACAGGAAGGGGCGGTTCCAGTGGGCACTGTGACAGCCGAGGGACCCAGGCCCCGAGGAGCAGCCTCCAGGATCAAGTGACTGCAGTGATCCCGTCCAGGCCGCACGTGCACCACATGTGCTCTGCTGGTTACCACACCCACGCTGCCTCCTCACAGCCTGTGCCCACGTCACAG